GCAACGCCCCCTATAGTAAACCCTCCAAAAAAAAAAAAAAAAAAAAAAGAAAATGATTGAGAAATGGCCCAGGGCTGGCCCTCATCTTCCTCAGCCCCTGACTATCTCTCTAGGCCCTACAAGTGCAGGTGGGACTTCTCAAAGGCAGGCGTACTCTACAAATGAGAAAAGGAGGCCGGGAGGTCTGGAGGTTACACCCCCTTCCCAAGGGTCCAGCAGAGAGGGAAAGGCAACGAGGCTCCAGCAAGAGAGGAGCCAGCCCTGTTCACCCACCCACAGGCCCGATCCCCGCTTTGTTACAGACAAAGAGCATCTCTGTTCCGAGTGACCTGTGAAACCCAGGGAGGCAGTTCTTCAGGCAGAAACGCCGAGTAAGGAACAGGCTGCCGTGGAGGTCTCACACCCACACCAGGACAGAGAGACCGTCAAGTCCTCCCTCCTAACGAGTCTGTTCACCCCTACCTTTTGCACTTCACTGCAACACAGCCTCAGTCCAGCCCTCTGTGACAAACCACACTATGACCCTCTTCGTCCTCACTCGTCACCTGGGGGAAAAGCCTAGCCAGGTCCCCAGGGAACGCTCTGTGCAGTTCTCCCTCTTGCGGCTACTGCTGAGTGGCGAGAGGAGAGGAACCAAGATGGCACCAGGCACCCAGCAATCTCCCAGTGCTTCCTAATCCCCCTCATTCCGCCCCCTCAGGACTGCTTGGGCCAGGGCCACTGCTCTAGGCTCGGAAGCACCCCGAGCAGACACACTCCAGAGCAGAAATGCCATAGGACTCTTACCTATAGTTTCCCTTTTTGCTGAGCTGCTCTTTAAAATGGCCCAGGGTCAAGCTTTGAGCCTTCAGCATCCTCCTGTATGGAATTTCTTCTCCGCAGAAAAAGTAAGTGACAACCAACTCGCTGGCCTGGAGCATGTGAACACCTGGCAGTTTCTTTGGCTCTTTGTGACTGAAAAAGAAGATGGGATGCCACAGTTCAGCGTTTTAAAGCAGGCATGTGCTGAAGGCAAACACACACACACGCACGGACATACAAGAGCCCAGGGCCCACACCAGAGGCAGCCACCTCAGGTGAACACATACTTCGGGTCCCATGGGATCTGCGTGAAGGGCTGGTCTCCATTAGCCTGTATAAACTGGTACAATTTCCCTCACTGCCACCTAACGGATGGAGCATAGCAGCCCCTCTCAGGTTAGCACAAATGGGGTGCTGCCAGTGAATATGAGAGATGGTGACAGAGCAGCAGGGGCTCCCCTCAATCAGGAAGTGCTGCAGAGACAGGCTCAGAGGAGCCAGGAACAGCGTGAACTCAGAACACCTGCAACTCGCCCATCGCCCTGCCACACAAGCACGACTAATAAAGGGGGTTAGCCACAGCCGCCCCCACTTCCCATTTATCTGAATTTTTGTAGAGAGACTTTAAAAGAAAAATTGTTGGGAGCCAGCCGGTAGCTTGGTGGTTAAGGCAGCCAGATCCCATATGGCTAACAGCACAGTTTGTATCCCGGACCTGGCACTTCTAGGCATGTGTGCACAGGTGACCAAGGTCCCAAAAGGAGAATGGAGAAGAGGGGATTGTGGCATGGTCACCCTCCCCTCTGGGGGTCGATTTCTCACTTTGCCTCTGGCAAATACAAGTGCCCAGCCACAAAAACTTAGAAAAGAGAAAGAAAGCTATTGGCCCATCTAACTGATAGAATTAAGGTCAACCAATGAAAACGGAGAAAGAGTCCAGGGAGGTGGCTTATTCAGGACATCAAACATGCTCCTTGCTCAGGATGAAGACACTAAGAAAGCTTTATTGAGACCACTCTAGAGCTCTGTGGCCAGTTTCTTTTTAAATGCACCGTCCTGTAGTTAAACTGAGCCAGGCTTTTCAGTCCACTTCACCAAGAGTGTGCAGTCCCAGAAAGAATGAACGCCCACTTTGGGAAGGATACCCCGTTTTCTCTAAGCAAAAACACAAAGATAGTCTTCTTGCTCTCTGTGACAAGAGAGAATCATCTCTCCACTCAGGGGTGACACAGAGATGCCCCAGGGCTATTGAACTGCTAGTTGAATGAGGGCAACTTTTCCATTCGGAATTAGGGTCCCCTTTATTCATCTGCTAATAGCTTCATGTCCCAGCATTAGACGGGCTTGCACATGAAAACCCACGTGGTGACACACTGGTCACTATGGACAGGTTTCTCATGATGGCCACATCTATGTTCACTGCTCCTCACTGTTAAAATCCAGGTAACTCTATAGACTTAAAAATCTCCACAAAAAGGCAATTCTAGGTACCCTGAAACAAACCCCCCTGCAGAGCTCAGTAATCCACGCAAAGAAAGACACTCACTCTTCTGGAGCCAGGCTGGGGATCGAGAAGGGCGTGGCTCCTGCCTGACCAGTGGCCGAGTGGCTCCTGTCCCTCTGCTGGCTGGTCACGCAGCACCTGAAGATACAGCCAGGGTGAGGGGTTTAGCGGTGTGCTGTCACCCCCAGGGCAGTTGAGGAGCACACAGAAATGACTTTCTTCAGCCTCCTGAAGAGAGGTACACCCAACTACCATCCCTGTGGAGACCTGACCAAGGCCTGGAAGACGGGCTGGGAAGAAGAGCTATCCTAAGCCCCCAGGGATTCCCAGCCCAGGCCAAGGGCTAACGGCTATGATTCCCCACCAGTCACGGCTTCACATCCAACCAGCCGGAAATGATCAAGACATTCGTGAGGGATGGGATTTGTAAAAAAAAATTACTGAAATTCCTTTTCCCAGTTCTAGGCACAACTTGCCTAACCAACTGATCCTGATTTCACTCTGGTAGAACCAATAGAACTAAAGACAACAGTGTCTGGAGGCTGGACGGGGGACTCTCACTCAGCCAGGAGCGATTTCTCCTTCTCTCCTGGAGGAGAGTCTGAGACCCAAGCAGAAAAGAAGAGCCCTTTCTTGGTCTCCATCCCCACACCCAATCCCTACCGTAACCTCTGACCACCCCAACTCACCGCTGTTTGGGGGGCTTCGACACCTCAGCCAGCCTGCGGCAGGCCTCCTCCAGCTGCGCCAGGGTGTTGGGTGGGGTCAAGGGAGGCATCGTAGGGTCCTGGGTAAACGGATGGGCGCGGGGGGTGGCACGAGAGTGCCCGCTGCCCCCCCACAGGTGGTGCCGGCTGGGTCGTTCGCCTGGGGACGTGCGGGCAGACTCCAAGGGACAGGTCTTCTTTGTGCTTTGGGTGCTGAATGAGGAATGAGGAAAGAGAAAGCAGAAGGAAACCAACTGGGTTAGAAAAACTAGAGAATGGGACGTCAATAGAAACTTGTCTATTCTGCTCTCAGAGAGAGAGAAGAAAAAAATAAATAAATAAAAAACGACCATAACACAGACAGGGGTGTCCCTGCCAAAACATGACACTTTTGTGATCTACTCAGTCCAGCGTGTGACATTAAAACGGCAGGAGCAAACAGTCCCATCTGTGTTCAGCCGACTGCACAAAGAGCCATCCCACGATACCTCCGCAGTGAGTGCCCGTGACCCTCGTAGCCGTGGCAGCCGAAAAAAAAGGGGCTGGGCCCTGCTCTGCCGCTCACTCTCCAGCATCCACTGCCAGACATCCTGCGACCTGTCTCCTTCCTCCCCGGGAAGCTGCAGGGCCCCAGCTCCGCCGGAAGCCCCTCCTTCCCTGGTGGGCAGGGCCTGGCCCGGCTCCATGCCTTTCCCACTCCGTTTGGGCAAGGTACTGCCTCTGCTGCCGCTGTGGGGAACCAAGAACCACACCCGACCCAGAGACCCCGTTAAATCTCTGGGACACCTGGAACCCGGCAGTCCGCCACTGAGTGGGGCGGTGACACAAATGCCCCATGCACCTGCTGCCCCCACCCTGCTGGGCCCTCTGCCTCCCTCCTGGAAGCTCAATGCCTGTGACAGAACCCCAGCCACCCCTGCACCTGCCTGGGGCTCTGGCCGAGAGAAGCCTCACCAGGCCACTGCAGCCCCCCAGTGCTCACCCTAACTGGCACCCTGGCGTGGGCTCGGTGGCCTTGGCGTGACTCTTGCACTTGGAGCAGTAGTACTCGCCGCCCCCGGGGCAGAAGCAGCGCACCCGCTGTGTGGCTTCCGCCTCAATCTCCTCCTTGGTCTTGGCGACGGCGTGGTGGTGGATGTAATGATGGTGGACATGTTTCGTCGTCTGCTTGGTCACAAAGCCCTTGCCCCCGAGCAGGGGGAAGGTGCCTGCTGAGGTGGCAGTGGGGGGCAGCTTGGCCCCGGGAGGGAGGAGGAGGTGGTACTGCTGCTGCAGCTGCTGGTGCTGGTCGGGGGAGCGGGAGCGGGGGCTGTAGCGGCCCATGCCTGGCGACTGGCAGCCTGGGGTCTTGAGGACCCTAGACAGGTGGTCGTCCAGAATGGTCTGAGGGTCCTCCTCGTAGCTGCCAGAGGGCAGCAGGGAGAGGGGATGCTGGGTGGGCGCCCCCTCTCGCGAGCTCAGTGCCAGCTCAGGCCCCTCTTTCTCTTCATCCTAGAAGGGAAAGACAGCAGAACAGGACAGGAGTGACTTTGCTATCAGGTGGAGCCCAAGGCCTGTGGTCCACACCCGAGGGCCCACACGTCACACATGCACACACAGGAGCGCATGCACGGGCATGCATGTACACACTGCCTGCACGCACACAGGCGCCACACAGAGACATGTAACCACACTACCCATACATGTTCCACACACACACAGACACGCATCCACACTGCCTGCACTCACACATGCACCACACATAGACACGCATTCACACTGCCTGCACACACACAGGTACCATGCACACAAGCATGCACATGTACAAACTGCCCACATGCACGTAAGCACACATACACACTGCCCACACGCAGACACACACGCATGCAGGCACATTTGCACACTGCTGACACATAAGCAGGCATACATGCACACTGCCCACATGCAGGCGCGTACACATGCACACTGCCCGCATGCAGGCACGCGCTGGAACTGGCAGGCGAGCCCAGCGGACCTCCCGGATCTGCTGCAGGCGCTCCTCCAGGCTGTGGCGGCTCTCCAGCTCCAGCTTCAGCTTCTCCAGCCTCGAGATCAGCTCGGCCGCAAAGGTGGCGGGGTCCACGGGGGTCATCTCCTTGGGCAGGCGGTGGGTTCTCTACAGATGTGGAGGCAAGGGACGAGCACCTTTAGCAGGCCAGGCCTGCAGCAGCCACTTACCCAGAGCCGC